GGGGTTGAGGGAGGAGAGAGAGAGAGAGAGGGGGGGTTGCCGTTAGTTTAGTGACAAAACCCTTGAGAGGTGCACTCAGGCAGGCGATTGAAAGGTTTTTAAATTCCCCCAATGATAGAAATTGGACAACGTGTGTGGTGTTAAAATCATACCAGCGGTCTTCCCTGTCAGCGAACGAAGAAGAAATATTAAAATCAGAACTAGAAGGTACGATGCAGCCAGCATTCGAAACAAGTCCGAGGTCTAATTGGTGATATTAAGGGAAAGCGCAAGCAGAGCGTTCATCTTTCAGGGACAGGGGGAAACGGAGCGTTTTGTGGTTAGGGTGTACGTGTGTGTGCTGGCAAATAGAAATTTAGCAGAAGAGTTAATGGTTAGGGGCTGGCCCACAACGCTTTAGGAGGCCATTACTTTGACTGAACAATAAAACCTGGGGAGGGAGATATTCAGGCGAATTAAAATGGGGTGGGGGAAGCATTCGGGATCAACAATCGGACGGTACAACTTTGGGTCTATCGAGCGCCTTTAGCAAAAAGAAAATTGGTCGACAAAGAGATAAACTTGTAAACGACATTTTTCCTCCTTTAGTCGTTCTGAGTGGAACACCCGTTGGTTTTAGTACCGAAAAGCGATGGCAGTGTGGGATTTGTGTAAATTACAGAAAGTTAAATAAAGTGACGAAATTCACCCCTACCCCCTCCCACTCATGAATGACATCTTTGATAATATGGGCGGCGCCTCGGAAAACGTGAAACACGTGAAATAATTTTTGCATGTCTTATTGCTACGGTACAGGTGAAACGAAACTGAAAGTCCAAAAAGGCCACCCTCCACTTATTTATCATGGTTAGGGTTAGGGCGAGGCTTACCTGTAAAAAATTAATGGTAAGCGGACTCTCTATCATGGGGAACTCTCTTTCACGTTACACCGGGTTTGCCAATTAGGCGGCTCCTTTATTCTGATTGACAAAGAAAGGCAAATACCATGAATGGTTAAAATGGTTTTTGCCTCTCTTGTTAATTATTTTGTTTAATATAGTAGCAGGTTTTGCACTGTACTATTAAAATAGAATATGATACACAGAGTTAATGATCATTAACTATTTTTCAGAACAATATCAAACAATTAAAAACACTAAATGTACTTCATTAATTTGCCTTTCAGGAAGTTGTAAGAAGCAAGAAGGATTTTATTCTTAAAGGAAGAATCATGTCAGTTCACATAGACATGACACCTTTTCTTAGGCTGTATTCCCAGAGCTTTTAGATCGATCTATCCCCGTGGGGAGTCTCACTAGATTACTGTCAGATAATCCGGCTTAAATGTCCGTCCCGCCTACTACAAGCTGTAAGGGGGTAATTAACTTTCGTGTCCGCCCGGCTGACAGCTATTTAGCGGGAACCCCCAGGGAGTTAGGTTGATCTAAAGTAGATCGATCTAATCTCTGGAAATGGGGTCTTACTCAGGGGTCAAAGCTGCAAGAAACGGATTTCAATTATCCTGTCTGTTTGGAATTGATGATTGATCCAACAACAACTGTGGACACAACTTATGCAGACACTGCCTGGCACAGTGGTATCTGGCTGGTCAGAGACAAACCTGCCCAGTTTGTCAACAGGCTTGGGTTGGACACCCTAAAGTGAATATTAACCTGAGGTAAGCTCCTTCAGCTATTTTGCCTGGGGTGAGAAATATGTCATAGGTAAGATTGAAATCAAGGCTGGTTTAAATCTGCCTACGCCAGTTTGAAATTTCCATCTGGGCAATTTTAAACTCTACCTGGATTTCAATCTTGCCTGTAACATATACAGGATAAGGCACAATTAGAGGGACACCATGTACATTATGACATTAGCTTCAAATGGTGGCATGGAATTGTGCACATTGCATTCAAATTTTCATATATTACACAAAAAAATGGTTGATTCAGCTGGATCTCATGAATACATATAGCAATTCTACAGTTATGTGAGTAAATAGATCTGACAAAATAGGCTTCATCACTATTTGGGAGACCCGAATTTAGTCATAATATGACAGTGAATTATTCTATTTTCAGATCATTACTAAAGCAATCCTTGAAAGAAAAATATACAGAAAGATGGAATGAACTACAAAAAGATTCAAATTTAGCTCTGGCAGTGGCAGAATTTGACAGAAAGATGACTCAGCAACAATTGGTGCTCTTTTTAAGAACAGTTATTCAGCACAATTCTCCACCAAGAAACCCGGCTAACCAGTTGTTTGGTTGGGCTTTGGCTGGTGGATTTTGTTCTGGACTGTGCATATTTCTAACAGTTGCATTGGTATGTTTACAACCTCAGCACCTAAGTGTGGGCTTAGTTTATAAGGGCCTTTAGATACAAATGATGTTCAGAACTGTATCCCAATCAGTACATTTTTTTCATTTGGGAGAGGATGGAGGGGGGGGGGGGTTGAGGGAGTTTAACAACTTTTATATTTTAGAAGATGACTACAGTATATGTTAGACTGGTTGCTTTTTAACTACTTTGCCACTCCCAACACAGTGCTACACATGAACACATTGCTTCTTTGATTCCAACATTTATATGACATGATAATCCCTAGGGTAGACACAGGTGAGTGTTTTACCAATTATTTATTTCATTTTACCATTTATTATTTCTCTGATATTCAAGTTTGCCTGGTTGACTTTAAGTTGGTTTAATGGAGGTGGCAGTACTTTAGTGGTGAACGAACCAATGCAAAAGTGGTCTGTGGAAGAGGTCGCTGACTGGATTGGGGAACATGGCGAATGGGCCAAACAAATGTATGCTGGGAAATTCAAGGAACATCAAATAGGTTTGATCAATAATTTAAGTAACTATACGTTTATGAGAAATACAGTATGTATAAATCTGATACTGGGATATAAGGCTTCATGTAAATTACGTACATGGTATGCTGCGGGTACTGTGTGGTGAAATACAATGTAGCGTATGGTTTTCCATTTTGACATCGCAAGGAGCAATGGACTACGTCGAGTATGTTAACATTACTTGTGGGAGCCCTATCATTTTATGACATGAAAATGAGATTACGTAGGGAAAATTGGGCTGTTGAAAAGTGATGGTGATGTATAATATAGATGAATAGGTTTGATGTTGTGTTTAGATGTGGCTGCATAACTTTTTCTTTTTTCCATCAGATGGTTGTCTGCTGAGCAGCTTACAAGAAGACGGTTTAGGGTTAATAGTTGGAACATCTATTCCACCAGTTCACAAAAGAGTGTTACTGGAGGCAATAAAAGTAGCATAGCATCTGGATGTGAAACCACCTAAAAACTTGTGGGAGTACAAGGCAAGTGATAATGCCCATGTAGGTTTATTTAAACATACACTTTACATGAACTAATACATGTATAAAGTGATTTATCTGCAATTTTAATCATTTTGATGTTTTTTCTCTTTATAGTATATAGTACCTGCAAATGTCACTAGAAAATAGAGGGAACCCAATATGTAGTCCAACTGGTGGGCACGGGTTTCCAAACTATTCGGCATAATGTATTCATTTACACTGGGGATTCTTTCAGGCACTTTTCCTGTCAAGACTATTATTTTAGCGATCGGCATAAGGCATCATCCAAGGTTCCTGTTTTTCTGTCTATACTGGTACGACTACCAAGATTCTTTCCTTCCATTTATACATAAAGTCGTTCCTGTGGCTAATGTCTCAGATGGAATGCTGATGGCTAATAGGGTAGGTGCAAACCATTCTATTTTGCAGAAATTTCCTTTTCAAGCTTGTTTAAATACAGACATTCTAATGAAAAAGTGCTGGTGAAAAGTGACAGCGACGCGCGCGTACTTAATGTTGCAGAAATGAAGAAACTATTTGTGTAATTTTATTTGCAGTGTTAATTTTTGCAGATTCTGAGATGTGCATTTTAAAGAAGAAACTTTAGTAGAGCATCACTTTGGGAGTTGGTATAATTCATAGAACCGGTGTATTTCTTTTCAATTTCAGGCTCCTCCTACATTAGGGCAGTGGTGTAGATTTTTACCCCAGTTGATTCTTTGTCCTTACTGGTTAATAGCTGTATTTACCTGGGACTGGATTATTGTGCATATGTGGACTTCATGCTTTGTCCTTTTCAACTGTGTCATCTACACAGTGCTGGAAGCCTTAGCTGTAAATAAATTCTTGTCAGAGCCAAAGTTAAGGTTAGCCGTCCAATAAACTTTACATTTTCTTTTCCAGGTTAATTTACCTGGGACTGGATTACTGTGCATATGTGGACTTCATGCTTTGTCCTTATCGGCTGTTTCAAGCTCACATTGCTGGAAGCGATAGCTTTTAAAATTTTCTGGTCAGAGCCTAAGTTAAGGTTAGCTGTGAAATATAATTTATTTACCTGGTGTTACAAATCTTTTCACATGCAAATTTGACACATTATTTGGTATATTTCTTTTTCTACACACCTTATAAAGCTGTCTTAATTTCATATAAAAATTTTTGCATAAGTATTTGTTCACATATTGTAAATTTCTGACACATTTGATTACATTAAAAACCACATAATATTGGAGGGGGGGATAAAATTATCATGTCACATGAAAAATGCAAAAATGAGATTTTTCTTTTAAATGTGCTTAAGTTTAATCATTATCACATTCATTGTTTTCAGTTTGCAATTCATCTTTGATCTAGTCATTGGAATGTTGGTGCCCTACTGGTGGCTGCTGATTCCGGTTTCATTAAATATTAGGTTCTACATTATTGTATATGTGGACCTATTTCTTGATCTTTTGTACCTTTTGCATTTTTTGCATCTTTTCTTATGTGAATGTATGTTTTTGTTGCGAAATTGGATATCGAGAGTTTGACTTTTATATAATGTTTTGGTAGCTAAATTTGGAGTTGCAGGTGAAGTGCTATTCACTATGCAATAAATCGGCTGTTAAATAAAGTACCGGATATTATTAAGTTGTTTTTAACATATTCTGAAATATTAATTTATTTTAAACTACCAAAGACTAATTATTTTCATTTGTAATCTTTTCTTGGCATAACAGTATATTTAGGGAGGCTGTTTTTCTCTCATGTTCATATGAAGCTGAAGGTCCAGGTTCTTGATTTCTACTGTATTTCAATAAAAGACTATAATTATATATATACTTAAGAAATGAGTAAACGGAAACCAGAGTTTTATGTGTGTGTGTGTCTGCAAGTTAGAGTTGGTTTAACTAAAATTTAACTAAAAATATATTCAGATTTAAATACCACGTTAGTTTAACAATTTTTACAAATCCCAGAAAGTTAAGGTTGTGTAACGTGTGTAGAGCCTTAATTTGTCATATTCGATATTAACAATGATATCCAAGTGACAACAATGTCTAGTATTATTGTATTATTTTAAGAAGCGAATATTGAAATTCCTGTAACATTGAAAGTAATTTACATTGTAAATTATATAATAAATTTTTTGAGAGGGAAGATGTCAGACTTTTCAGTATTTTTTTTGCATAGATTTTGTAATATCTTATTTTTCACTACCGATCAATGATGTCCGAGTGACAACAAGTGCTAATCTAGTCTATTAAAGTGTGTGTTTACCGCGTACTCTAATTTTCTCCTGTAGGCGGCGCGGGCTGCCTTCAACAAAGGTTATAATTACAATTCTGTTTGGTGAGATATTGTCCCATGTTTTCTAAAAATCTTGGTAAAATAAGTCTAGACTATTAGGCGTTTGGTTCTCCTTCAAATTGCACACTTCAACTCACGCCACGGGTGCTCAGTTGGTTTATTATCAGGAATCAAAAATGGTTTCTGCAGCCTCAGAACATTGGGTTTCTGCAACAACTCACTCATCAGACGAGAACTACAAAAATTGGTTAACTATCTACAGGAACAAGTTGGATTTGCTGAAAAAAAAGGTATTTCTTGTTTGCCTTCGATGGTCAAAAGCGGGCACGAGGATATGTTGCAGAATGCTTTTTGGAAGGTGTGTGCAGAATAATATCGCCTAAGGTGGCAGGTCACTCCACGTTTGGAGAGCAATCCAAGCCCATGGATTTAGTACATTGTTCTTGCCGGAACAGAACGTTATTTTAACGTGTTCTTCTCCAGTCTCTTTCCGCTTTTGGTGATATCTTCATGATATTTCTAACCATCGACACAGGTCACGGAACCACGAGAACCTACAAGAAGGTTTAATACCTTAAAACTATAAAAGTGATAACCTTCGCCTTACATACAATATTGTGACGAGCTATCGTTGCATCACTTTCATTTTGCCTGTTTTCAAGTGTGATCCGTACAGTGCGAATCTGATATATTCTTGCTGTACAATTTTGAGACCACTTACAGTCGAACGACTATTATGTTTATTTTAAGTAAACAAAAGCTTATGCCTACTAACTGTGGTTGTTGCCTTTTCATTTTCTATTTAGGTAAGCTATCCAATTTCAACATCTCAGGTGATATCAGGTGTATGAAGAATAATAGAGCTGTTTTCATGCGACTCACCGTGCTTTTTGGCGGCATCGTCGCATAATTTCTTAAACTTCCCGCTGGAGACCAGTTTGGTGTATCCTGCGTTCCATTTTGAGTTGAAATCGTTGTCTTTCCGTGTCATCATCCCACTGCCGGACAACATGCAAGAAAACCCAGCCCCGGGAACTTGTTCCACCTCGGGGTTGGCTCTTGATGCATAATCCGCCATGCTTAGTGGAGTCACGAAGGTCGCTTCTATCTATATATTTGTGAAGAAAAACGGAGTACATTTACTTTGCACCAAACATGTATGAGTAGCATACTCTTATTCACTGGAAAATGAAATGTCTCATCGTCATTTATGAATTTAAATATGCTAATTCGGCTGTAATATATGACAAAGTCAAATTCCGTTTTCTCAACAATGTCTCAAGAACACTGATAGTTAGGCGGATAAGTCCATTTTTTGTCCAGAATTGTGCAAAAGTTGATAAAAGCATGAAACTTTCCACGATGAAAGACCATTGGGTATTAGTCAATTTTGGATCGTGGGGCAACTCCAAAATTCATTACTACCTGGGTGGGCAGCTTAGCTAAAATACGCTGACTCAGCGTTTTTATACGTACGAAGATTTCATCAAAACAAGAGCTGCTTTGTATGTATTANGTTTGTTTTTATTAGGGCCACTCAAGGTCAGGGCCTCATGCCTGATGGCACCTGCCGCTTTACCTGCAAAGGAAAGTCCATATATCATTTCATGGGATGCAGCACCTTCAGTGAATACACAGTGGTGGCAGAAATATCTGTGGCTAAGGTAGGTTGTCTTCTGTTATGTTTATCTGTTCTCTTTCTTATCTGGTTTCTTTCCTGTTCACAAGCTTCAATTTTTCCTTATGAATTATATAAAAAAACAATCTGTATACATGTTTAAAGCACAAAATTAAAGGTAAAGGAGGGAAAATACTTGTTTTTATTCTACATGTTGGTTTGTTATAATTTAAGGTGAATGAGAAGGCTGCCTTGGACAAGGTTTGCCTGCTGGGTTGTGGGATATCTACAGGATATGGTGCTGCCTTGAATACAGCCAAAGTGGAGCCTGGGAGCACCTGTGCCATCTGGGGACTGGGAGCTGTTGGCTTAGCTGTTGCCATGGGATGCAAGGAGGCTGGAGCTACACGCATTATTGGTGTCGATATCAACCCAGATAAATTTGAAGTTGGTAAGTTATACGGTGTATTATCTGGGACAAATATACCTATTACCGGTTCTGTAATTTAAAAGTTGGGTCCATTTTCTGAAAAAGTGTACCTTGTTATTGTGAAATGAGAAATGACTAAATGAAATTTTAGTACAAAGCGTATCTCAGTGTCCTTTTGTTAACAGGACTGTATACTTCAACAAGACAACTAAATTTATTCACTCCTTATGCAGCAGCTATGTCCAAAGAAAGCTAGCTATTGACTACAAACTAGTTTTCATTGTATGTTTTTATCTATTTTAGCTAAGGGGTTTGGTTGCACTGAATTTGTCAATCCCAAAGATTACACCAAGCCCATTCAAGAAGTTCTGGTAGAAAAGACAGATGGTGGTTGTGATTTTACATTTGAGTGCATTGGCAATGTGGGCTGCATGGTAGGCATGTTATCTATAATATTTAGCAGTATTAGAAATTAACGCTGGACCATCTGCCTGGGGCTGACAACTTTCAGAACGGGCTGAGAAGTTTTCCCACCCGGCAGACATTCAGTCCAGCTACTTTTCAAGATGGCTGGACTTTCACTCCCGCAATTAATTTTCCTAAGAGGCAAACACTGATATTAAGTGTGGAAAACAGAAGCCAGTTATTGTTATTAGTATAACAGATGATAAGTGAAAAATCTGTGACAATTTGTTCCATGAAAGGGAAAATATTTCATGTGTTCTGACGACTTTGAAATGTGAGTACAATGTAAATTTACTGATAAACTTCATCAAACTTATGGATAATACAGGCTATTTCAACCGAAAGAGTATTGTGATGTTTTGTTATTGTACATTAAATTGTTTTATAACTTAAATTTTTAGAGAGCAGCATTAGAAGCTTGCCACAAAGGTTGGGGAGTGTCGACAATCATTGGAGTAGCTGCTGGTGGAACTGAAATTGCTACTCGTCCATTCCAGCTTGTCACTGGCCGGGTATGGAAGGGCACAGCTTTTGGAGGTAGGTCACCATTAGGCCTCCGTATTAGTTACAATTCATTTATAAAGAAGGGTCCATTCCCAATGAAACTATTATTCTATGTAGATTGATTGAACTCTGTAGGGACTCTTCATGAATGCAGCCAGATTAACACGCCTTCTCGTTTCTAACATATTTGATAATCTCCCACTTTTCTGCATTTTTTTTTTTTTTTTGAATGCATTTATTCACTCAAAGAAAAAAAGAAAATATACATATATAATGAAATATTTAAACAGATAATCAAAAATTAAATGCATATAATATTGATGATAATTACAGTAATTAAATACTGATAAATAAAAAAGAACATAAATATATAGAAATACTTTCACTCACTCATCCATCCATACCTGCTACACGTATACATGCTTGTTGTGAGCTACATATCAGCAACTAGAGGTGGACATTTTAACATGTTATGGTAATGGAATGCATTTCCATTTTGTATTGAACCTATCTTCTTTTCCTGTCTTTATAGCAATGTATTTTTCTATTTTCTTCTTCTTACTATGAAAATGCAGAAACAGTTCAAAATCATAGACTGATAGATTTTCTGAATTTTTGTTTATAAATTGTTCAGGAGGCATAAAATCTTATACAATTAATTATACAAAAATTTATTAAATAATACAAAAATTTAAATATTTTGCACACTGGTCGCTAGACAAACACCCGTACATTATAGTTTTTTCATTTTTTCTGAAGTGAATGGTATTATTTGGAGTGTTCCACCAGTTTTCAAATGCAATCCAAAAGTTTCTTGTGCGTACACATTCCACAAAACGATGTATTATTGGTTCTTTCATATGGCAGTTAATACATCCTGGGCTAGTAACTATTTTCATTTTGAACAGTGTGGAGTTTGTGTACAGCACATTGTGAATTATTCTGTATTGCATTGCTTGTCGTTTAGTTTCTTTGACAGACTCAAATGGCATCAAGAAACCTCTCTGCCTGATTTGAAAATAAGCAAACTTGCTGTGGGTAAATTTATTATATTTCTTTCTATTAGCTTATTAGTTAGGCGGATAAGTCCATTTTTTGTCCAGAATTGTGCAAAAGTTGATAAAAGCATGAAACTTTCCACGATGAAAGACCATTGGGTATTAGTCAATTTTGGATCGTGGGGCAACTCCAAAATTCATTAGTACCCGGGTGGGCAGCTTTCCTAAAATACGCTGACTCAGCGTTTTTATACGTACGAAGATTTCATCAAAACAAGAGCTGCTTTGTATGTATGATTTAAATTATGATTACATGTATAAATTTGAGACTCATACACTCACTGTGCACATATATGACAGCAATGACGTCATGATGACGTCACTGAATGATATTTTACAATACAAAAAGACGGATGTCTACTCACGGAAACACTGGTGAAATGGATATATTATTTTCAATATAAGAACATGCTAAAAAAGACATCGTCACATGTTTTATTCCTGTTAAAAGAGATAGTGTACAATAGCTGACCCAATTCGGGGTCGCCACGCCTTGACATGATGCGCGTGTTGTGTATTACAATAAATCAAAGTTTTGCTATATTTCTTTGTTGTTTTGTCCTTTTAAAAATATTTCTTATATTAATCTCAATTTGTATTTGAAGTTATACCCAAGTATATTTGATTAGACAAAACTACTGGTAGCTATGGAACTGGGTCTACAATGTAAGTTGCTACCACAAAGGCCTTCGGGTAATATGCTCTAAAATTTGGCGGGAGATGTTCCATTTCTTTCGATGTGGACTGTTGCTACAAATGTGGTCAAGGGGATGATCTAAAACAGGTGAGTAACTTGATGCAAGGGAGGATTACGTGCGAAACACTTCATTTCCTTCTGCACAGGATCAAACACGAATGAAGTTGTATCTAGTATTTAAAGAGTTAAAGATAACACCCGCGATACCGATCATTATTGAAATCTGCCACGCGGTATGTCCCGCGTTATGATATTAGGTTTTGAAGCGGGATTTGCATTGTAATGGCTTACTTTTTAAAGCAGTCAGCGTCAGGATTCTTAGGAGACAACCGTTTTTATCATCGTTTTTACAAGTCTATAAACGGTTACCTGGGAGGCGGGGGTTAATGATCTAATTAAGCTTTGAAAAATAATGAAAATAATGATCTAAATTGCTGTCAAATGTCGTTGTTTTAGCTTTTCACTTTGTACGCTAAGCTAGGGGTCTGGAATTTTCTACTCTTTGTAGACTAGTGAAAATGATTATACAAATGAATGAACCCTTTTAAAATGTTAATTAAAATGATTGTTTATCTAGTGGTAAATAGTAAATCCGGGAATATATTTTTGCGCTGTTCTAGAACAACCATACGGAAAAATCGTGGGACTAAGAATGGAAACAGCAAAAGAAGTCGATTGGGAACTTTGTTTTCTATGTCAGAAAAGCACAGAGGAATCCCTTATTTGCCCAGACCGTTCTACAAACAGCTCCTTAGGGGCAGGCTACAAGTCACTAGCACAGAATCTTATTGAATTCGAGAAGCTAGGTCTCCGTAAAGTT